TGAAAAGAAAAGAGGCCTTCAAATAGCCCCTTTTACAAGATAATTCCAGGTTGCGTATTTTGACAAACTATGAAATAGGATACTTAAAGAGCTATTTAAAACCAATTAGATATTGGAGAATTTAATTTAAAACGTTCAGACCGGAAGTTGAATCATTATGTGTTTCTGTTTAAGATTGTTAATCTTGACACTATTTACTTCCTATCTAGCCATTAGTATCGACGGCTTGATGTATCGAAAGGATATTCCGCCTATACCGGTGATACTTTAAGTTTCGAAACCTTAAAAAGAGCTGTTTGAGTACTATCATTTTCAACTGCTACTTTGAGCAGGAGTCGTGATTAACGCATAATACACTTGGAAGCTACAATGAAATTACAGAGTCAAGAATTTGCAAGTCCCCGTTACTCTAGGCATAATAGATTATAGCTAGAGGGAATAGTTACGCACTGGTTGCAAAGAAAGCTCATTACTTTGATGTTTCAAGCATTGCATGATATAGAGTAAACCATTGGATGCGGATGTTTGGGCAAGCAAAGCACCACAGCAGTACGACGCAGAATTAGCACTGTCAGAGATCAGGAATTCAGGAATTGGGTGTTTGAATAATGTCAAACAAGTTTTATTTAAGAAATATAAATTCATACCAAACGCAAAACCATTTAGAAGACAAAGGGAGAGTTTTCAGTGCTTCAATTGCAGAGCTCATAGATCATTTAATATAATAACAGCAGTCAAGTGGAAAGTTTGCGCGCAGTGTAGTGATCGAAAGTCTGCCATTAAAAAGAGACTTAATAAAAGTCCTACCTCCCCCCCCCCGACTTATGCAAGCTTGTTTTCTACGATGTTCCATCGAGCCATTTCTATGCCACACTTACGTCATTGACACAAATCAAATGTCACTATATCTTTACGTCATGTGTGTAATTTCGTAATAATAAATTCCATTCATTCAATCCTATGTTTACCTTCCTTCCTTATCCATTTTTCCGGTGGGTGCTTTTTATTCCCACTCACTCGTACTCCCCGGCTACCTACCTTGCCGGTCTCCATGTGTGAAGTATATTAATATATCTTTTAGTGACACACCCGTTTATTTTAATTATTACTAACAGTACAGCTATTGTGCACCGTTCAAATTAACAATACACTCTTACTGTTGACAATTCGTTGGTTATTTAATAAACATCCTTGTTACTGGATTATTGCTAGTGAAGCGTTTTTACCTTATACTTCAAAATACTCCATCTGACATCACTATCATTTCCATTCGATAACTTAAATAAAAAATAAAATTTTGCGAATTGCAAATAATTGCCTTTGTTTGTGGAGCCAATTTTCACGTGTTTGCCTTCAGGCGAGCTCTCTTACAAACAACAGGAAATGGGGTTTAGAAAAAAAGAGCCCTCAAACTAACCAGACTTCCAATATCTGTCCTCCTCGTGCTAATAAGTCTAGATGTTTTTTTTAAAAAATCGTCTAAAATAATGGTATTTAGGAATTACCACTAGGTGTCCTAACATTGTTGATTTAGATCAGGTCAACCTCTGGGTTTAAAATTTACTTTTCAAACTATTTTGGAATATATTTTAACATGTGCCTTCACTAGCCTCCCTGCGAGCACACACACACGGGCTGAATTCGAGAGGCTTCTGATGAAAACTTGCCATAGAACTAGGGGAGGGGGGGGGGGGGGGGGGGGGCGTGTTGAGAAATGTTGGGAAAGAGGGGGTGGGGTGGAAAGTTTTCTCTTGCACACTCGCACGTGCGTGTTTAGTACCATATGAACGTCGTTCACCCACTCTCATCTCTCGAGTTTGTATATTATCAGATAAGACTCTGGCAGCGTTACTACTGGCTGCAACCTCCAAAATATTTGATGGTGTTTAAATTTCCCCCGACTCTCCAGTTTATGTGATCTAATCGCTAAACTGCAGGCAAATTTCACAGGACAGGAGGTTTTAACTCACAAAATTCGTCTAAATTTTATGTTTACGTGTTGCGTCCTATCTGAAGCGCCATTAAAGTATGTTATATTTTGATGCATAGGTTGAGGTGGAAGTGTTGGAGTTTCATATTAAAAGCCAATGGAATGGAGTTCAAGAGAATGAAATAATGTAGGAAACTAGCAAATTACAGACTATTTTACAAGAATTGCTTAATACTATCGTTCAAATGTAAGCATAGAGTTGGATACTCCACATGTAAGGGTATTCTAGCAGTTCATATTATGATATAGGGAGTAAAATAAACAAATTAAGTAGCCATAAAAAACCGTACATTGACAGAGAGACAGTTAACAGGTAGGAAAAATATTTCCCATTTGACGGAATAGGGATGACAAATTACAATGATAAAGCCAGAGCAATCAATGATTCTCATGGGAATTGAAATCGAAATGAATGAACCACAAGGAAAGTTCATAATAAGATTTTTACAGACCAGTACTCAAAAGGGTTTCTATGCAACGTTGAGTCCACTTGTTTTATGATGTTGACAAGTCAATGCACTAACGTTGAGAGTCACATTGTTTGGACCAACATTTTTGGGGACGGAAAATTACAAGCGCGAAGAATAATCATAGGAGTCTCAATAAATCTGGCAGTACTAAAAGGAATCAATCATGCGTAAACCATGACTAATGTTGAGTTGAATTCGGGGAACGAATAGTTACATATCAACCTTGTCATTTATAAAAGTCCTAAATGGTATCTTAAATGGACTCGAGGACAATCAAAAACAGTCCAGTTTTCTTAATCAAAAGTAAACCAAAAGGATTTTGCGCACAATGTTGTATCATGAATCAAGTAAGAAGGAATTTAAATGTCAAGCATTGCTTTAATTATCCATTCCTTCGAGTATATAATGAAGAAATGTAACCATATTATAGTTTTTGGAGTTTCTTACATGTTTCTTTATTCTTTTTTATTAATAACTCCATATTGTTCTATACTAATGTTAGATAAAGCACCGGATAAGCCGTTATTGAGATAAATAGAGCAGATTTACCATAAGTTTAGATATCAATGGAATAGCCTCATCCATCAGGTAACAATCAGAACTCCCGTCACATTCTCACACATACACACGTGCCTTCTATCATCCAATACATTCCTATTGACAGTACTGACTTCGCTTATTTTGATGTATGATGAAGTGACATCCCATGACAAACCGAATCAACGAAATGGCTTTTGATTCCTGATCACTACATAAAATTTTGAATTCTGCAGTGGACACTTTATAGAATCAAAGCTACTCCAAACCTATTAGTACTAATAGAAGTATCGTCGGTATTAAATGCAAGAGGCCTGGGAAGAGATGCCTTTTGAAAAGTAAATTTATTTGCTGAAAGTTAAGTTGCAGTTAAGATATTTCTTAGGGATGAGAGTTTTCAAGCACAATCAATAAAAAGGTGGTTTGGAGGGCATTGTTTTCAAGGAAAAAAGGTTTTCATTCACCTTTAATATCATGATCACAGGTTTAATCATTTTTTCTTCAACTATTTCATCTTCTGTATTTATTATAAATAATAAATGAATTAGTAAATC